TTATGCGTCACTTACGGTCATACCAGTTGAATAGAGGAGAGGCTTCTGAACTGCCTCCCCCCGATCACACCAAATGAGGACTCGCGGCAATGCAGGTTCTTGGACCCTTTTCATATATTGATCCGAGCCACAAAGACGGGGCGTAGGATAACTTTGATATAAGATCGTTTGGGGAATACGGGTTAGGGATGCCCAAACCACAAAACGAAACGGATAAGGGCCGGCTACGTGTGCTCCTCGGGCGTCCGTTGAGCAGTGGTTGACTGGTTACGCTTGAGGTCTGCTTAAAGCTCCTGCATCTTCGTGCACCAACTGTTTCACAGGACAACGTAGAGGCTATGTGGAACAAATAAGCCGCGAAGGAGCAGGCGTGTTAAGCCTGTTCTTGAACGCACACTGCCCGCCAAAACGATGCCCACTCTAAGTAGGCGGAAATAAATCGTCCCGTTTAGGTCGTTCGTGCTTACACCAGCTAAACGCAGCCTCACTACTTCCTGTACAGTTGAACAGCAACATTTAATGGAAGATGACTACACCACTTTTGCTGACTTATTTCACTCCTATGCATAACCTGGCTATCCATCCCGTATACTCACCACCCATTTCCTATCTTGAGTGTGCCCCCCTACCATTGTAAATCTCTGATCGAAACCGACAGGATAAGGGGCCCGTGACCCGGTCGTTAGAGGCGTTGGACTTCTAGCTAACAGGTCGCGAGTCCGAGCCCCAGGTGTTCCACACCTCGGGGTCGGGCATGACCAGCTGACGACGGCTAATAAGCCGGAAATGGCCATTCCAGTCTCCCTTGTCTTTGTCGGTAATAACATACTGCCTATATCATGCGCCGCTGTGCGAATGCTGGTTGGGCTCGAGAGAGAGCCCATAAGGCAAAACGGAACAAGCGAGTTCCGTAAGAACAATCGGTGAGCGCTGCCTACCATTTTTAACTCGACGACCTAAAGCTGGCTGCATCTGCTCAACTCCTGCCACCCGTTTGCGTATCCCGTTCAGGCATCTCCTACTCGCAGCTACTTTGTTATGCGTTGAAGTAATTGATCGCAAGTAACCAAAGCTAGTTAACATGATAATGCCAGTCCTCATGCCGGAGTCATGCTGTGCGTATCCTGTCATTGACCCGCATCCATGGTCCGTCCAATATCTGTAGGTTGCTCGTACTTTTTCGGCACGATAGCCTTTGCGGAATGCTAGTAATAGTTTTCGTTTCGATACTAATTGGTAGGCATTATCAAAGGAAAATAGACAAGGCAGGGGCTAGAACCCGGCTAATGGCGATCATGACCAGGTTCCATCTGCTGTCAGCCTAGCACGAGTGCCCTAACGAAGATGATATCCATTCATCCTCTGTTTCTCGGAGTACGTATAGATAAGAAGCCATAAGTTAGCGGTCAAAAGGACATGCTTTCCAACAGACGTTTAGTTGAACCACGTGGTAGGGGGGGAGATTGTAACTATCCCGGCAGCCAACCGTTAAACCTGAACCGCAACTCGTCCGCACTGTTTTACTCATTTCCACCGCGCTATCTTTCTCAGCATCTGGTTTACCCGTTCCTCTCCTTTCTGCTTTGTTGTACTTGTAGGTCAATGACTTCAGTTTCGCTCGGAAAACGGAAAAGAAGGAGTTGATGAAGGACATTGCGAGTGAGCTCAGCGCCGCAAAAACGGAAGATTCCGTCTCGGCCTTACCTGGTATGACAACCGTACATATTAATGCCTTCTCTATCCGACCCTCCATTTAATCGGGAATGCGGTCTTGTAGTGTAATGTGTCCGTCTATTTAACCTAGTCTGCATCACGCCTTATTCAGCAACGATGATGCTACCAGGATGCAGAGAGATGAAGTCACAAGGTCTGATGGCGGCACCGCGAACTCCCATTAAATTAGATGCTTTGCCACTATTGCCTTGCGGTTACGTTCTTGAATCGATGCATTGGGGGGGGGGGACAACCTCGAACAAACAATCCGACCTGCCATTGGACACCGACCTGTACTCAAAATTGCCAGAACGCCTCACCAAAAATGTCCAATACATATGTATTATGATCTCTGCCACGGCGTCCGCGGGCATTTAAGCACTCCGCAAACCCCGTACGGTGGTTTAGACAAGTAGTCTGCACACCGTGTCCCACAATTACTGAACGGATGGTTGATATTGAATGTTGGAGTGTGCGAACATTCCTCGACTCTTACCCAAAGTCTTACGGTGCGTAGTCCTCATCACGACAACCTGGACGACTGTTGACTGCCTCAGGTCCGAATCCCCTACCAAGGCCCTTAGGAAATAAAAATCTCCCGAGTCAAATCCCACTTCACGCTTGTTATCAGCGGCTTATGCGACTACTTTCATAGAAGCGGTGTGGTGATTGTGCTCACACTAGAGGTGCGTCATGCGTTGCCTGTGTTTAAACCCGCCAATGACAGGCTAGCCTGCGTACAACTGAGATGGCACTTTGCTAACATAGGTTCACGCCATGGCATAAACTGCAGGCCAGCGGGATAGAGAAATCTGCTCGCAATCGCAAGAACGGGCTGACAGACCCCATGGTTGTGGACTGCTGATTGTTGTCTGGGACTGGAGTGGGCAGGCCTGGTTGGGCATTTGCAATATCTTTACGCTAATGGCAACTTTTGACTTAATTCCCGATACGACGATGGTGAAGACTGTTGAGCCTTGTCTATTAGAAACGGACTAGTTGTCACTAATGCGTGCTTTAAGTATCATCGCAAACACCTGTTAATATAGTATTCAAGCGATAATCGCATTGTCAGTCAGATTCACGGCATTTTATTCGGTTCTATGTTTCGTAAATGAGCTCATGTTATTTTATCGGCGCTTGAGTCAGGCCACCCCCAAAATTTCATCTCCATTCTGCACCCAAATTGTCGTGTGCAAGACGCATTAATGTCATACAATTACGGCAGTCCAGCATAGTCGAGGCTTCGCACACAGAAATTTGATCTCGTACTGTAACCTGAGCTGACGGAAAAGGCAGCTGCAATGATCATCCGTGATATCATCCCTCTACGATGCAGCTGAGAAAATTCATGGATTCGACCAGCAGCAAAGGAGTGACTCGGTCAGTGGAAAACCGTTGTAGTTGACTGCGCAAACGGCTTGAGTTAGGTCTCACAACGACGGTTTTTTTCCGCCAACTCCTAGATACAACGTTATAGTCAGTCAGAGATGATTGCGAAGTCCGTTGTGTTTAGATGTTGACGTCCATGTAGCAGGCTTCAGCCGTCATGGACATTCGAAAATTCTGCGATGCAATTCGACGTGTCAATGGTAGACCACATGCACCGACTGACCCTCTTCACGATGTGAGTGGTAGCTTTGTAGCTGACGTTTCGGTCAAGGTCGAGTGCCTGTGCTATCACTTCGTACACCCTCAGGACCTCTATAACCGACTCTCTCTCGCTCTTTCACCTCTGTTCGTAACTGCGTTTTACTACTTTCTGGCCTATGCAGTAACACGTGACCCCTTTTCTAGAGAATAAGTCATCGATGCAGTGCAGAGGCTGTGCAAAAAAGACGTCCGAGCGATCTGACATTCCTTTTGAAGTTCCCGAGTCTTGTGCAGACATTAGCGCTCTAGCATCATGAGGGGATTGGACGGACTTGGGGAGATGAGCTCGTTCCTGATGACTGGAGCTCGGTTATCCTTGTGGTCCGTCTTCGTGGTCGAAGAAGTGTGAGAAATGTCATTGACGCTGTTTCAGAAGCTTTTACCATTGTCATCAGTGGGCTATTTCAGAGTGGGTGCGACTCTAGAACCAAAACCAGCCAGGTCGGCTTCCTGGCTGGATGTGGTTGCACGGATCGGATTTTCACACTGTCGGGCATTCTTGGATACCCCTCACGTCTTCCAGCAACTGACTATTGTCTGCCCTGTCGACATCTTCGTCGCGTTCGTTTTCTTGTATCGTGAACAGTGTGGCAGAAATGCAACTGAATGGTATACGGACAAGAGTCAACGGCATGACCACCAGTGCCCACCATAGCTCCCCAATACGGGGGTCTTTGTCCACTGACGGAATAACTCGGTTGATAGCAGAACGAAGAGTCAGGCTGCAATGGCTCCTCACCTTGACCTTTATGACACTCACTGCTGCAAGATCCGGGCCGTCCTTTCAATAGCCTGGCGCATGTAGTTGGAGCGAGGTCTTGTAGAAGGGCTGTTCTGCTTTACTGGCCACTATTCATTTTGACTATGCTCATTCAGGGGAAATTCGTGGGTGTGCGAGGCGAGAGTGGGATGCGCGCTGCAAGTGATGCCAGTCCTGCAATCCTGCTGACATTTAAGTCACCATTGCGCCTTTGGATGTTTGGAGATAAATGAAGTATCAGCTGTTTGGTCCGATAGACAGCTGCCCGGTCAAAGGTTAACGGATGTTAGACACGCATCTCAGAGTCTCTGCGACTTCCTTTTAGTCGGGTTCTACGATATGGATTACCCGTCTAAGCACTCAGGACCCACTTGTGTCGGTAATGCTTCCATTGCTCGACTCTAACCAATAGTATTTTTCACTCTCCTGGCTGCCCTCCTAACATTCCCGCCGTTTTGCAACCACTTTGACTCGAAATTTTCTGACAGTGTTACTGCCTTTCTCTTAAGTTTAACTGGTACTGAATACTCGTACCATCTTTTCTGTGGTCATCTTTGACTGCCTTAGTGTGGCGCATCGACACGTCCGGATGCTGTCAACCCAATATCATCATCCTTTCCCCTATCCCCACCCCAATTCAATCCTTCCGTCCCCACTATCCTCTAGATGGGAAAATATTCCCCTAATTAATTTCCACCAAATGTCTAGACTCTCCATCCATACCCTGCTGTTGGAGCCTTTCATTTTCGAGACATTCTCGGGACAGTTAAACAACTTCCTTTATCTGGTTAACGAGGGAGAGATAGGAACAAGAATCTTGAGGTCGTCTCTGGTGATCTGCAACTCTGAGGGTACCCAGGATATTCATGAGAGCCCGCCTGCTACGCTAAGCAACCCTGACCTCAGAGACCGCTATCTGTTAGGATTTCCGTCATTCTTATGGTATTCCTGCATCCTAACCTGAGTCAAGCGTCCCTTTGGCAATAGTTTGAGGCGGTTAAAACAGTCCGCGCTTCACTTGTTTAACATTCCTAGCCTCATAACTCTCCCCCACTCCTATCCCTGCTAGCTCGTCCGCCACCGACCTACCTACAGACTGCGAACCCACCAGCATCTGCGCCTGCGGCTCAACCAGCGGCGCCACCCGCGGCACCTCACGCTGCCCATGCTGCACAGCCTCCCATGGCCATGCCTTCACAATATCCGTATTGGCCAGGCTACGGAATGGCTCCCAGTAGGTCCATCGTAACTACTCTGCCGATGTTTCTGACTTCCTCTTCCACTCTTCGCCCTGAAATAATGACTGCGAGGCTCTGTCGACAAATTCGCCGCTCGATCTGCCTCGTGCAATCACAGCTCATAGTAGGAGTCTAGATGAATGCTCAGTGTTGTCGCTTTGGTCTGCAAGCACTTTGTCCTTCAGACTGCATCTCTTATATATCTCAGTTGTCCAATATTCCGACAAGTGTTTCGCTAATTTCTTGCGACTTCAGCATGGTCAATCTCAGCCTACTCTTGTTTAATGCCGTTGAGTTTTGTGTTTAGCACAACCGTTCCAACAGCCCATCTTCTATGAAAACAAGAGCAGTGGTTGGTTTAGGTTGTCAACTATGTTTCCTCTAACTGCCCCACTCCAGGCAGGAATCTGGTGCGTGGAATTTCATTAAATGACTTTCACCTGTCTTTCTTTAGTGCCACCGATGGGTCAGATGCCACCGCTTCCGGCCTATGGCGCCTACGGCTACCCGATGCCTGGCATGCCCATGTACTACCCACCCCCCACACAACCCACAGCACCCGGTTCTCACCCTCCACACACCTAATAGTTTGGATACAGTCGACATATTCAGATTCCATGCCTCACACGCCCACCTTTTTCGTCTCCTCGCAATTTAAAGTTGTGACTTCCAGTCCCAAGCAGGGCTCACCGTCGTGGCCATTCCATCCGTCAGACTGTCAGCCAGAGACCTACGTGGGGGCGCACACTTCGCCTTTCAAAGAACTAATTTCACTAAGACTGTTTTTTTGCTAGCTTGCACACACGCTTACTACTTGTCTGTCGCATTCGTATATCCAGTCAAGCGGACGCTCTTCTCCCTCTACGCCTTCCCCCGCCTCTGACGTGCTCTTGTACATCAGGACTCACCGGTCCTCGCACCTATCCGTCAGTGACTCCGCTTATTTTTTCTACTCGCCTTATTACTCCTCGTCTTGCACAATTTCGACTGTTGCAAGTCACCGACCCTCTCACTTTCTATATAACTTCGTCGTTACACTTTCTGCGGTTATTTACTGTCTGGGGGAAGATATAATCCGTTAAATGCTATAGGTCAGCTGCCTTCTCCTTGACTTTCTGCAGTGCTGGTCGATTAGGGCGTTGCCGAAATCCTCCTTTTTGTCGCCGCAGAAAAACAGCTTCTACTGCACCATTAGCTGATGGTTTCCGTGCTTTTGTTCACCGTGACTCTCATTTCGCTCTCTCGCTACTACGTTTGTCACCCCCGAAAATTCGGGCCGGCCTATCTCGTGAAATGTTAACCGAAATTTCATAGTGTTTTTTCGATTAGAGGGGATTACTTCCGTGAGCTTGTAATGCTCACTATCGTACATCATAATTCCGAGATATTTTATTCACTTTAGGATGCCAACTCTTGAATTCGTGTCTTTGCAGCAGCCTGCAAAAACTACACGGTAAAAACGACCACTAATGTAGTATGCAGTTTTCCATTGATTGTCACTGCCCTTATAACTTCGAATGTATTTTATAGTGCACAAAAGTATCCTTCCGTGCGTCCATTTGGTAACAACTTGCGTCTTCTCCAATTTTTTCTTACTTAGAGAAAGTGCACCTTTCGGTTGAAATAAATTCGTTACTATGACATTTTTAAGACTCTAAAATGTCTACTCACAGTATGGTGTGTCCGTTTGTTAGTGCTACTTATTAGGAAAACGTATGAGGCTCATGAAATGTCCAAACGGATGTGGACCTTCCACACCCATTTCAGAATTCCATGAGCCCTGAATGACGTGGGGGTATGTATGGTTTTCCTTACGCGGAAAATCTACAGTGTTTAGTCCGAAACCCTAAGCGCGATTGCAAGCACAGGTCGGGCTCAAAATCATTTACGGATTTAAAACGCTTTAAAAACCTAAACAGGCTTCTTTGAATGTAAAATTTGAGTAAGGCGTAGTTCCCTACTAAACGAGCGCAAAAAAGAGTATGTTTGCATTTTTCCTATAAAATACGTTTGAATGTATAAGGGTACCGAGAATCGATGAAGGAAAAGCATACTGCTTTAGTAGCCATTTTTTCCAAGCGCGGTTTTTGCTGGCAGTCGGGAAGAAGCTCATTTAAAGGCCGGCATCCTGATAGTCACCTTACATCCCGACCTAAGTAATCCTTTTTTAATGGAAAACGCCCCTCCGAATTTCGGTTAACACTGTATGAGATAGGCCAGCTGTCGCCGTTGTCAGTTTACTGGTCGTTGTTTCCTGTTTAGCGTAGATGAAGCTTTGCTACGAAACTGCCCACTCGTCATTGGTTTGCGGGTGTTTACCTCTCCATTCGGCAAGTGGGGCCATCGTACTTACGATGAATAAGCAGTTGCGGACCGTTGGGGGTCACTGGCTGTTGATCTGGCACCTCGGCGATGTATGAAAGGGCAGCATTCCGGGGCAGTACTACAACACGGTGAATATTGCTCTTTACCATTGCCGTATGTGCCAAAGGTCAACCCCGAACACCGGGCCCCACCTGTGTCACGCACCCCGATGCACCTCGCACTTGAGAGGGTTTAATTGTAAGCACGCTGTAAAAGTGTGGTGACAATAAGCCCTAAGCCATACTGCCTCACGAATGTTCATAGTTAGCCAGGCGAAGGATTGCAGCACAGACAGCAAATTAGAACATTACTGGCTGCTCGCTGAAATATGAACCTGCTGCGTGGGTATGTATTTGGCAATGCAGCGAAAATATGATTACCAGAAAGCAGTTTAGAAGATGCGATCGTTGGGATATTTTATTCGCCTGACCTTTTGGATTCATGCCCGAACACACCATCCGACACGGCTGCGTATAAGGGTGGTGGACGTAAAATTGGTGCAGAATTTATAGGGTTCAGTTGTCTTGCCACTGTATACCTATCATGATTAGCGGCCCCCGTAATCCGCCATTGGTCGAACCTGATGCAATAATGACTTGCTCACTAACGTCGGTCTCTAATTTTATCAATGTTATCATAGATGCTGACGATTGGCGTGACAATTGTGCGACCACTTGACTCGCGGATAGTAACTAGAAACGGTATTCGCCCGCGCCCGCCCTGTATGGCCAGCTTCTTTGCCCGGGCAG